TCTTACCTGTCTTGTAGTATGACAATCATTCTGATATGCAATCACTCATGCTGCAATGGTATCTTACTGCATATTGATTGTCATTTTGGTAAATGACTTAAGCTCAAGTATGTGATTTATTTGAAAAGGTGAACTATCAGATTTAATATACTGTACAAAGTACATAATCCGGATTTTGGCGATTCCGGATTAGGGTTCTTTTCGGATTATAGATCATCAATTTAAATCTGGTAAGAGGGCATGCAGAAATTATACAATTAAAAATATGAAATCATAATTTATGAAATAAAGAACAATTATGATCTAAAGGGTATCAAAATTTACAAAAGAAAGCTTAATATTTATTTGTTTATGTTATTAAACATTTCTTTCAATGTAAGTTGTTTAAGATGCTTCCACAAAAAATTCAAAAAGTTCCTTTTTCTTGTGTCATATATAGTGGACTTTCCAAAGCCATACTTCTTGCATAATTTTGAGACGGATAGGCCTTTATCCATTTTTTTCAGAATTGGAAACTCTTTTTGACATAATTAAAAGTTCAAGCTTAATTTTTATAAAATTGTTCTAACAGTCTGCAAAAAATAATAAGCCGGATCCAATTAGAAGATTAAGGAACAGCGCAATCTGCAACATTAACTGAAATGCCTTAGATAATTTTAGCCTAGCTTATACCGTCCGTTATACATTAAACGTGCATACAAACTTTATGTACATGCGTAAACGCAATGCATTTACGCATGTACATAAAGTTTGTAGCTTTGAGGTCTGGATTATGGACATCCGGATTACAGACTTTGTACTGTACCACATCTCATTTCCCTTTACAATATTTGGTAACAAACTGCATTTATTTCAAATATTTAACCATATTTATGGTTCATCCTATAAATCATAAATTTGTTTCAAACTGCAAGTCTTTTATTACTTAACGTTATTAATTTTGATATTTATCATCAACAAAAAGTAATATCATAACTTCATATTAATTAAATAGAAGTAGGTTATGCATATTCAAGCCAATAAAAATAATTTCTTTATTTCCTTTCAGTACTGTAAAAATGAGATTAAGTGCAAATTAAATTTATTATGTGTTTTATTTGGCTGAAACCGATTTTTTTTTTTCCTGTCTAGAACAAACATTTTAATCCTATAACTGACCTGTGTATAACTGCAATTTATTGTAACCCACATGGTATACCTAATGTGAAAAAAAAATGCAAGACAGTCCCTTATAGATACAGTATTATAATAGTAAATAGATGTGTATAATTGCTGTGTATGTAAAAGGGCAAAAGAGAAAAGCGTGAGGTCTGTCCACGCCTTTCCATGAATGGTCGCATAAGTTGGCAGACCGTTCAGGACATAGTGGAGCATGAGGTCATTGCTCGCTAAGAAATCTTCAACCTCCTACTCCCTTAAATTTGTGTCAGGGTAATTCGAAGATTCAGCATGTGCAATGTAATCCCCAACGAGTGCTGTGCCAAGGGATATTTGCTGAGAATTGTTTGCTGTGCTTCAGCCAGGTCAGCTGTAGGAGGGGGTGTATGAATTGGTGATAAGTAAGTTAAGGTCTAGACCCTTCACTGAAATGGCGACTATGTCTCTTGATACTGAAATAATGTTGGGCAACCACTTCTGTTGACAACAGATTATTGCTGCTCTTGGATTCATCTCTTCATTTGCCTGGATAACTGTCCATGCCAGTGAAAGTTCTGACATTCTGTTTCAAGTGCAGTATGGCTCTTGTGCTAAAATACTACAAGTCCACTTTGATTTACATAGTAGTATATTGCATGAGTTTAATTGTCGCTCGCACATGTTGTAAATTAACTTGAAGTACTCTTACTTGTTCTTGCTGTATTGTACTTGCATTGATGTCCATTGCAGTTTCCTCTTCCACATGGGAGTTACTCGCGTGTTTTGAAAGAATCTGGATGTGAACTTGCTTCTGCTCGCTAATATTTGGTATTATTTCGTATGAGTCTGGCAATTCTCTGGTATTCGGGACAGCTGGGTTGATAGGCTGCGTGTCAAAAGTCATGGTTCATTCCATATTTATTATTTGCACAGCTGCAGTTGATGCAAGGTGGCGATTGTGCACTGCTTTTCCTCACATGAAGTTTCAGAGCACAGAATGCACAGTATTTTGTCTCACTTTTGCATGCATCCTGAAAGTGCCTCATTTGCGAACACCTATAACATCTCTTGATACCAAGGAATTCTCTGATCGCGTGTCTGTGCTGTCCAGAGTAAATCTTCTTGATGTTGAGTGCCCATGGAAAGCTTGCTGGGTCACACTCAAAGATCCATCTGATTCTATTCTCTCGTCATGGAGTTGGTAGAGTACTTTGAAGGTACCTCGCTATGGCAATTCTGAGCTCTTTGGTGAGTTCCTCTGTCTTGGTCTCGATGGCAACATGATGTATTGCACACTGGCAATCTCCTCGCAGGTTTTATAAACTCTGCGGAAATGTCTGTTCTCTAGAGATGCTCCTCTAGTCCTGCGACATCTTCTGCCATGCTGCAAAACACCTGTAAACCTCCTTTATTCGTTGTTATGATGCTTTCTACCTACTGACACCTTGAGTGACTGGTGCTTTATTCCTCAACTGCTTAACTGCTGTAGTATGTTCTTTTGGTTGTATTATTAAGCTGGGCTTTTTGGCCTTTCATAGTACATCTGCAAATGTATTGTGTGTTGACTGCAGTTTTGATGTCTCAAGAAATGGAGTTGGATGAGGGACCATGCACCTGTTGGTTGCAGCTTCCGCAATCAGCGGGAGCTCATTATATTTGGGTCCCCATAATGCCAGTGTCTTAAGGGCTACGAGGGCCACTAAAATAAGAACTTTGACTTCCTGCGGGAGCCGGAATGTATTATTACTTCTACAGGTGATGGCTTTTATGCACTCCTCATGGAGAGTGAGAATCTTATTTTCATACGAGATATGTTATGAGTATATCTATGTTTAAATGGTTAATACAAGTTGATGTGTCCTTTTCGATCATATTGAATGAAGCAATTTTGCTAATGAAATATGAATTATTATGCATTATACTAAACTGTTATGCACTAAGTGATCACTTATGTAGCATTAATATATGTTGATCTATTTTACACTAACAGCAGTTATGTACTGCAGGCATAATTCTGCTATGTTTATTGTGAGCAAGAAAGACAGTTTGCGATTTGTTAAGTAAAAATAAATAAAGTTGAATTCACTAATCATTATTCAATGTAATTTTAGTTTATAAAATGCTAAAGTTTTATTTAGTATAACTTTTGGTACCGCAAGTTTCGTATTTTAAAAAAATTGAAAATGATTTTAATTCATCAATTACTTTTTAAAATTTTGTTACCAAACCAACTTTCTCAGTTTTAGAAAATTTAGTTTAAATGAAGTAAAAATAGCAGCTGATAAATAGCAAAGGTAAAAATTTACTCTTTCAAAGATTAAAAAAAAGTAATTATATTAAAAGTTTGATTAATATTTCTTATAACTTAAAAAAATTCCTTTCCATGTATTATTAATAAATATTTATTATGCATCATTAGTAAAAATAAGAGTAAATTCCACATGAATAATTCTCAGTAAAATTTATTTAGAAATTTAATTTTTAAAGATAACTGGCAATTCATTTAACATTGTAAAAATGAATAAATCACAGTTGGCATTATTATTGCTTATAACAAATTTCAAAACCCGCCAATATATAAGTTGACTTGTAGCTTTGGATTTTTTAAATTCTGTAATATTTGTTAGATATGCCTAGAAATATATCTACATTAAGATGATGTTAAAAATTTTACAGTTTATAATTCAAAATTTTATCGGAAGATTTATAAAAATTATCTAAATATACAAATCCTTAAAATAAATCTCAAAAAATGTGTGAATTTTATTTGGATTGAATCTGAATTTCAAAATATTAAATGTGAAATAAAGTAAATCTAATTAAAAATGAGATTATTCAATGTATACCAAATTCAATTAACATTGCAGAGTTAAAATTTTGAGTTTGAATTTCTAATTTTTAAAACATTGCTGCTGCGCTTTTTACGAAACTTGGCACTTAGCATAATTTGAGTCCTGGAATCGAAATATGGAAAAATATCAGCATATCATTTCATAAAAAGTTGATTGTTAGTTAAAATAAATGTTAGAACAATGCTATATATAAATCTAATATGTATTCTAAATTGCACTTTCAAGATATAAAAAGTGTACTTTTATTAATTATGCAGATCAGCTGACTAGAGCAGAGGAAATATAATTGTTCCTCCCCCTCTTTTTTTTTTTTTTTTTTTTTTTTTTTTTTTGGACTCTGTATACTTACATTCATATTTTCTTTTGCCTTCTGATACCAATGGACCTTGATACCAATGCATATACCTTGATATAATAGTTTAATAGAAACATTAGTAAGAGAAATTATTATCAGAACAAAATTATGAGGACTAGATGAAGAAAGAAGAAATAGTTAATTGTACCTCACTTACCTGAAAAGTGAAGTTACATTTTCTAAACAAAAATGCATCCAATCCATTGAAAGAAGCCCACAATTTAGCAAGCAGCTTAGTTCCATAGAAGGAAATTTATAATGATCTCTCAACTAAAAACATATAGTGGAAACTAGTCCCCTGCGGTCCTCCAAATGTTCAGAAGATGAGGATATTTTACCAAGAAAATGTTTATCAATCACATAGACAAAGAAAATATTATTAATATTGAATACTTTTTTTTGATCAGATACAGTTTTTTATGAACATTCTTTTCTTAGTTAACAAAATCAGTATTTTTTTAATTGTGTGCTTAATTCGCTTTATTTGTTATAATTCTTTGGCTCATATAATACGGATTCGTTTAACATAGCCTTGAACCTAACGAACACTTGTATTTTTAATGTTAATTTCTATATTTATTTAATTGTAAATTTTGACTAGAAAACTTTAAAATATAGATTTTAGTTTTGGAATTTCTTGTGAATATTCCTTTCAGATGAGTTCTCATGATCATTCTAGAGTGGTATCATACCTTGATAAAACTTTAGCCAGTTCCCTGCAAATGGTGATGATGCTTTTACCTGGATTGCCTATTTGTTATTATGGTGATGAAATAGGAATGGAAGATAATGAAATATCTCCAGAAGATATCAGAGATAGTTTTGCTCTTAGAACTGTGCCAGTAAGTTTTCTTTTTTTATTTAAATTTATCTTTATTTCATCATATATCTTAATTTTATGCAGTTTATATATATATATATATATATATAAATTAAAATGCAAAATGCTAATTTAAAAAAAAAATTATGAGATGGTAAACAAAGAATTTTTTTGATACTATCCCATGAGGAATCTGGAAGTTTTTTTTAGCATTATATATATGTAAGCACTTAATGCACATTAATACCTTTATTTAAATTAGCTTATTTCTGCTAAAAGAAAATACTTAATATCTGTCATCCAGAGTCATTTTAATAATAACAGAAATGTAAAAAAAAAAAAAATAAATAAATAAAATCAGTAACAATATATGAATGTACAAATTAAAATAAAATATATAACAATATGGATAAAACTTGAACAGTAATATGGAATAACAGTATGGAACAATAACAATATGGAAAAAACTAAACCATGCAAAATAGAAAATTAAATTGAATATTAATAATAAAAATTGCAAAATAGTCTACTTATAATTTTTTTTTTTCGTTTTATGATTTATTTTTAATTTTTATTCACATGTTTATGCATTTAATTTTTTTTGTTGTTGTTGTTTATGAATTTTTATAATTGCCCAACTGACTTATTTTATGTTTAAGTCAGTGTACTTTTATTATGATTTATTATGATTTATGATTTATTTTATGTTTTTTGATTTATTTTATGTGTGTTGTATTATTATATGGTAATTTTGTTTTTAAATTTTATCTTTCATTTTTATTTTTTTTTCTGCTAAATAGATAATACTGAGACAAATCTTATTTAATATTCCTTTCATTGTCATTAATTAGAAATTAATTTCCTGTATTAGAGAAAGAAAAATACCTTTCAATGTATATTTTACACTATTTGTGTGGCTATGATAGTGCTCATGAATGTAATCAAAATATACTGAGAACTTTCATACTTTCTGTAATTTCCATTCATTGATTACTCAAATTCTGAAAACTTTTAAGTATTCTTTTTGGTTTCTAACTATTGCCAGATTTCTTTCAAACTGTTTATTTTCTCTGTAGCAGTTAAGTTAAAGAATAATTGAAAATTTATGTTATATATATTTTTCCTAAATTCCTTATGAAATAAATACTGTTTTTGTTGCTGATGCTGATATTAAGTCCACAATAAATGTAGAAAATATATGACATTTGGTTGCTATTATTAAAAACCCGGGGGCATCACTATAGGATTGAGCCAATGTCAGTTGACAGCATGGGATTGGAATTTGAGACCTATGACAGCCTATGCCATAAATTATTACCTGTGTACATGAGAATTTTTAAGTCTGTCTGTCAGCTGATATTTGCATGATTGAGTAACTGACATCCTAACGAACTTTCATTCTTATATAATATTAGAAAAATGTAGCTTTTGTTTTATTAAAAGATGTGCAGATCTCATTTCAAGACTATCATTAATATGATATTTAGTTTTATTAAAAAGGGTTAATAAAACTTGTATTATCTTTGTTGTTTTCATATATTTGGCTGTTTTATGTTTTATTTAGTCAAATTCCCGTGATCCTATGAGAACACCAATGCAGTGGAATAAAGCTAAAAATGCTGGCTTTAGTAATTGTGAAAAGCCTTGGTTACCTGTTAATGGTAATTATGAAATGGTGAATGTTGAGGTAAGCTTTGAGCTGTATAATTTGTCTTGCCAAAGAGTATTTTATTATGCAGTGTTTGCTAATGCATGCTTGCTAATCATGATATTCCATACAGATAATAGCTGATAATAAAATTCTTTTAGTGTGAATGGTTATGCATTTGAGGATTATATTGAGATTTGTGTGTTTCATAAATTTGTGCGCATATTTAATACAAATTTAAGATTTATGCAGTAATTAACAATATTATTAGTAGGATCTGGATTTTCAGGTTTTGCAAGTGGAAAAAAGCTATTATTGGGTGCTAGCTTATATATTATAAATTACAATCCAGGTAGCCTTTGTGGAGGACTTGCTAAAGGAAACTGGCTTATATTCATGTTGCACGCAAGGAGACCCATGTAGCTAGCCTGCTTGCCTGAGTTCAAACCTAGATTGAACCACCAGCATTCAGTGGTCTTAACCAGTCAACCACTGGTGTGGCCATTTAAATAGGAATAGTACATAATATGGCAGTAATGAGCAATGAAAATACATAAAAGAACTTATATTTAAAAACTTGGAACTCCTTTTCAAATTCATTGATTGCACCAATTCAGCTGATTCTTTCTTTGCCTTTAACTAATAAATAATAATTTACACTAGCTTTTACTTGGTCTGAATTTGTTTGTGGCATTTGTTTCTTCACAAAAACTGAAGAATGGTTAATGTGAAAGAGCATAAGTTGAAAGAAATAGCTAAAGAATACAAAGCAAAAAGCATATTGTAAGATATTTGTATCATCAGATATTATGGCCATATGGAACAGCGTACAATGAAGGACTTCCAGTCACAGATAAAGTGATACATACTAAATTAAAAAGATGATAGGAACTAAATTAATTCATATTATGTGCTAGTCTTTAATAGCATTATAGATAGTTTTAATAGATAGATGCTCATAAAATGATATTCAGCATTTTAGGTTACAAAACAAGCATCAATGATCTTTATCTAATATGAACAAAATGCAGCACTTTTATTTCAATACTTTTAAAAGAATCAGAAATTTCATTAGTATTAAAGAAAAAGGCTGAGCTTTATGTTTTTTTTATCATTGTTCCTTGGGCACCACAACAAATGTAAAATGACAGGGACAATCCTATTATATAAAATGAGTATTTTTGATTTGGCTCCTTTAAATTCACTTTCTCACTGATAAGGTAATAGGTAGAAGGAAACCTACTGACATCTAAATGATGATGGAACTAAGTACACATGATTTCACAGGGACTAAGTACAGACTTCACAGGTTTATTTCCACAAAACTGGAGCAATGGCTGAAAATTCTGACACACCCTGTTTGCAAAAATATAGATAAATTATTATTAGGGAACAAGGTTTTTCTCAAACTTTCTCATCTAGTGTTTATGACAATTTTTGTGGGCATTATTGATATAATTACACATTTTTGAAGTTGCATCTTTACTTTGACATACCTATAACATAGCTATATCTCCAATAGCTCTCAGTGTATAACTAAATGTTGAAAAAAGATACTTAATCTCTTTGGTATTCTCTGTGATTTAAGTCCTTGTCATGGATTTTGGAATTGCATGTATTCATAGATTTTGGGGGCTTTAGTACCCGCACTAAAGGTAATGCTTTCATTTTTTTCCCTAAAGTTATCAGGAATTTTTTTTCGGGTGGGAAACTTTCATTACAACCACATCATAGTGCTAGACCATTAGTTATTTTGGAACATTTATCATTAGAATGATAAATGTTCATTAGAATGATAATCATTAGAATCTAAATATTTCTTAAATATATATAAAAATTCTTAAATATTAAAATATTTCTTAAATATATTTATCATTAGAATGATAAATATATTTAAGAAAGAAATAGAGAGAAATTGGTAAAAGAAAAGTATAATTATCATAATGTAAATTCACTTTACAAAAAGAATATTATGGTTAAGTAGTAAGAAAACTGGGCAGTATAATGAAAGAAGTTTTACTGTATAATGGTGCACATTGGTTGGTCTATACATACAGTGTGGATGCTTATTTTACTATCAATGACAATTTTTTTTACTGTCATTTTAAATTATAATTTTCAGTTTTATTACACTCTTCGTTAAACTCATTAAAATTTATTAAAATAAGCAGTGAGATATTCCTTATCATAAAATATGAAACTTATGCATAAGCAGCACAGGCGAAAAAAGGCAGACTAAACTATTTGCTTCTTCTTACAGTCATTCTGTAGCTGGATTCTGTTGTACCGCAATTAAATGTATATAATGTATAGTTATGTGTGAAATAGCAGTCAAGTGAACAAAATTAAATCACTTCAGAGATCATAAATATTCAATGTGACTTGGTCAATATGAGAATATTTTGCCCCATGTCATCGTAACTTCAAAATTTTACGACATTGCTATTGACTTACTTCAGCAGCTAAAAGATAATGAATGATAACGACTAAACAAATCTCTCTTGTGCTGTTTTTTGTAGAAAATTTTATAAAAAAGTTTCTATAATGCATAGTTTATTTATTTATTTTATTTTTTGTTTTATATTTTATATACAGTACAAAGACTGTAATTCGGACGTCCATTATCCGGAATGACCTATAATCCGGAACTCAAGCCACAAAAATTTTTTGTATGCTTTACGCATGCGCGTAATGCGTTTATGCATGCGCGTTTAATGTTTGCGTATGCGCGTTTAGCACAAAAAAACGAAGCAACTTAAACAACTTGCATTGAAAGAAATGTTTAATAAAGTAAACAAATAAATATTAAGCTTTTTTTTTTTTTTTTTTTTTTTTTTTTTTTTTGTAAATTTTGATTCCCTTTAGATCATAATTGCTCTTTATTTCATAAATTACGGTTTCATATTTTTAATTGTATAATTTCTGCATACCATCTTACCAGATTTAAATTGATGATCTATAATCCGGAAAACCCTTAATCCGGAATCGCCGAAGTCCCGACGAATCCGGATTACGGACTTTGTACTGTATGTATTTTTAATTTTATGTGCCTTATAATTCCCTAGTCAGATAATACTGAATGTAGAATTATTGCCACCAAAACTGCAATCAACAACATATGGACGTATGCATTTTTTCTTGATAAAGTATTATAGAATTTGAACTTGTATTCTTATTAGAGAAAAATGAACAGTGTTTCAACTATCTGACATCATTCTCTCATTATAAGGTGACAAAATAATGGCTTGAATATTCTTCAAGACAGGTTTACATATATTATAAAGGAGTTGCTTAGCTCTGTAATGATAGGAAATTAAAAGATTTTACCTTATATTATTTTAGGAGGTTATTCAATCAAAATTATCTTTTTACATGACAAGGCTAAACTTCATGCAGTACATGTCACGAATAATTTTTCTTAAATGAAAATATTTGATAAATGGAATGCCTTAATTTTTCTGTGGATTTCAGTCTCATTTAGCATGCACAAAATCTTAATTGCATTGTACATTGTCATTTATTTGCATTCTAGAATTGACATTGGTGATCATGTCTAAATTTCATGAAATCTGTAATTTTTGTTTTCTGAAGTTTATGTGTTTTAAATATGATTATATTTGTATTATTATACTACTTTAAATTATAGCATTATTATTTTACCAAATGCTGTAAATTATCTTCATTGAAAATTATCTGATTCTTACCATGTTTATGTCAAATTGAGAAAAACTTAGCTAGCATTTAAATAAAGGGAAGGATTTTTGTATTTGGCGACTACATTAGTTCTTTCAGTAATTTAAGGGCTTTTTATATAATTTTCAAAAATGTTGTGTGCAAGTATGACCATATTTACTTGCATAAAAAATTTAATTCAAGTTTATTTTTCAGGTTGAAAAAGAAGATCCTTATTCATTTTTAGAAAACTTCAGGCATCTTGTGAAGCTTAGGGAACAGCCGTCTGTTTTGCTTGGAACTTTAGATAGTCATCTAGTCAATGAACAAATATTTTCTTTTGTAAGGTTTCTTGTAGGAACTAAATGCCTTTTACTAGTCTTGAATATGAGTTCTACTCCAGTGTCAATGAATCTGTCTTGTAGCAAACCATTACCCAGTGAAGCTTTTCTTGAAGTAACAAATTCCAAATTTTATATTCATGAATCACAGATGAAAACTTTAATTTGTGCCAAGAATATTTGTGAGGAAGAAAGCTCTTTCTCTGAAGAAAGTGCCTCAAATGATGTGTTTCATATAGATAACACTAAAATTTGCTTGAGGCACATTCATTTAAAAGCTAAGGAGGCGTTAGTAGTTTCTTTCCTAGGAAGAGAAATTTAGATTTTTAAAAATTTTTATTCCAAAGAATTTTTAATAGTTTTAGAAAAATGATTTAAATATATATTAAGGACAGTTAGTTTTACAGAATCATGATTAAACATTGTTATGTTAGATATTTATTTTTTGTTAAAATTGTTAAATATATTATTTATACATTATATCTGTGATATCATTTATTATTCCATTTAAAAGTAAATGTATGTGATCATATATTAGGATTTGATAACTCATGCACAATATGAAAAAAGTTCTAATGCACATAACCATATGAAACAAGATTTTGATTTATTGGTGTCATTAAATTTCATTTAAAATCTAGACAAATTTGATTCATGACTGTCTGAATATGTAAACAGTAAATATTTTTAAGTGCTTTACTTTAATAAACATAGCAGTTGCAATGTACCAGTTTCAAGTTCCTTATCATAATACCTTATCATAATTTTTCAATGAAGGATACATTTTATGTGAAATGTTAGATTTTTATTTGTAAAAAGGCTGACTGAGTAGTTTGACTGTCTTTATTTCTTTTTTTGTGATATGAGGAACTGCAGTCCTGTGGTGGGTTTTATGAAAATTATACATTGACATATCAACATGCATTTATATAGGATGCTTTACTTTCAGAACTGCCGGTCATAAACCTATCCTTCAAGTTATGAAAAGCTTTAAGCAACGTAAATATGATATTTTGGCATTTTTTAATTTAAGGAAATCAATTTTGTAAAAATTATGAAATCTTAACTTCTCATATATTCTTTCAGTCAATGTACTTATGTTTAGCAAAATTTTGTACTTGTTATAAAAAATAAAATACAAAAAGTGTGCCTCCTGTGTAGCAAAATTTACTGAAATATTTGATATTAAAAACGAAGATCATGTCCGGGGGCCATATGCAAATTGGGAGTGAAGTGTTTGTATTGAGCCAAACTAAAAATAAAGTATCAGCTTAGAAAAATATGTCTGATGTTAAGAGATTAAGTGGTGAGTAATTCTATGCAGATTTTTGTGAAATATATTAATCAGTATAATCTTTTTTAATATGTAAATCTTACTCAGAATCAGATTTTACTTAGAATTCGTTTCTTAGAAGACTCTGGCAGACTTTAATGTTGGCACGTACCTAATTAAAAATGTTATCAATAAAAATGTTTTTACTGAAACTTTGCACTCCCATGACTCAAATGACAAAGATGTGCTATAACATATTAATTGCACTTACCTCATTTTTCTTTAGCTCACAAAAATGCTTTTAACTTGTTGTGGCATCTGTCATATCAGATGCTAGTGAGTAATTGGAGATTTTGTTAGCCATGTTTGATATTTCATTGTCTATAATTAATCCTGATGCATGTGTTTTGAGGCAGTGGCAAATAGGAGGGCAAAAGCCAGCATGTTTCATGATACCCGAGAAAACTTAAACTTGGAAACCTAGCGGGTTTGGAACTCAGGAGATAGTTTCTAAGGCTTTACCTGGCTGTTTAGTTCATTGTGCCCATTAACTGTCCACTGCAATAGACTATCCCTGGCAAAATATATGACCAACATGAATTACTGTAGCTGATTAATTAGAGTAGAGTAGGGTTGCGGGACCTGCAACAGGAGTTTGCCAGAAATTTTTGCAATTTTGATATTTCTTTAACTTATTATAATAATTTTGCACAGTGTATCTAAAAATAGACAAAGATAAGACAGTACAGACAAACGCATTTTTTTATAATTGAAACGTTTTTACTTGTTGTAATGTTACTTTCTTTGCACGTGACGCTAATAGTTCGTCAAAGGCTCTGCTCATGCAAGATCCAAGTGTTTTGGTAACATATGAGCGTTGGGCTGTCTCTTGCTTCTTTTACTTCAACCGTTGTGCTCAGCCGTCTCATCAGTGTCAGAAGATCAGCTATTCTATTCAGATAGTTTTCACAAGTTTCAGTGCCCTTTCACTCCAAATGTATTATATATGGTGCTATTGTCCTGATAAAAGAAGCATTCTGTCGCTTTTGCCGTCATTATTTCGTTCGTTTCATCAGCAGCAAGTACATAGCTGTACAACGTTTCACCAACAGCAAGTACATGGTTTTAGAAGTTATTATCTATTTAAAACAAGTACCCCTTGTTTTCTCAACAGTAATTACTATCAAATATTTTCTACGAATCATGAATAAGTGGTTGAATTTAGATAAACTATGTAAAAAACTGAAAACAATGAGAAGTCATCTCTGGTACCTAGCACAAGCGGAGTTAAAATACCAAGGAAACAAAATTATGAGAAATCATATTTGGAATTTTTTACTTCTTGTAATTATGATGGAATTGAAAAGCCATTATGCTTAATTTTTAAAGACGTTTTGGCTACAGAAAACATGAAACAAGCCAAATTAAAGCAACATCTCAATACAAAGCATACTGTGCACTGCAAGAAAACAAAAGAATGCTTTGAACGGCTTTTGAAATCATCAAATCAGCAAAAATTTGCCTTCAAGAACTTTGTTACTGTGAATGAAAAGTATTTATTTGCGTCTTATAAAGAATCCTAACTGCAAAAAATAAAACGGCGTATTCTGTTTGAGAAAATCTAATATTGCCAGCTACTATTAAGTTGTCAGAAGTAGTTAACAGAAAAAGTACGAGGATGAAATCCGTGAAATTCCATTATCCAACGATACTGTTTAAAATCGAATTTTGGAAATTAATAAAGATCAACATTAGCAGCTAATAACTTGGCTCAAAATGAGTACTAATTTGGTTCTGCAATCCAGTTGGATGAATCAACTGATATTACCTGCTTTGCTCAATTACCATTGAATATTAGCTATATTTTTGAAGGACGTATTTAAGAGGAATTTTTGTTTTGTCCTGCGGTGAATGGGCACACAAGAGGATATTTTTCTAAAAGTTAATGAATTTTTCATTGAAGAAAGCTTACAATGGGAAAATTGTGTTGGCATTTGCACAGACAGTACTAAAGGGATGGTCGGTGAAAAAATTGCATTTCCAGCTAAATTTCTGGAAAGTGGCAACAAACATATAACATTTACTCATTGCATGTTACATCGAGAAGCCCTGGTGACCAAAAAATATCATCGGAGTTAGATGTTGTGCTTCTGGATAGTGTTAAAGTGCTCAACTTTATTAAAAGTGGTGCTCTGAAGAGTCGTTTGTTTTCAAATCTTTGTAAAGACTTGGGTCTTGAATACAAAAGATTATTATTACATGTAGAGGTAAGATGGCTTTCAAGAAGCCGCAGTTTATAAAAGTTATTAAAATTAAAATATGAAGTTCTTCTCTTTCTAACCGCACAAAAATCTGATTTTGCGAATTAGTCCATTATAAGTTGTGGCTACAAAAACTATGTTATTTTGTAAGGACTTTATTTTATTCTAACCAATTATTTTTAGTTTTCCTTTCCTTTCCCTCCTGATTTCAGTTTCCTGCCGGAAAGTAATTTTTTAATGGCGTAGTATGCTAATTTGAACGTGTTCCATAAGCAGTATTTAAACTGCGTTTCAAGAGTTCGAGAAGAGTAGTAGCGAAGTTAGTTCCGAGTTTATGCTGCATGTTTGAATTTAGCTCTCTAGTCGGTGTTAGAGATCGTTCAGTTTATACTGATATACTAGGCTCGGCTTTTCTGTGTGCAGTTGATTTAGCATTTAGTTAAGCTAAGAAGCCAGTCATTAGTCATCTTAATTTAATGTGTATTTTACATTTTTATTTTCTCTTAATTTAATTAGCCACAAGTTGTGGTGAAATGGGAGCACCAAGTGCATGCGTCTGTTTAATTTAGATTAAATAAAAAGATTATTTAAAACCTTCTTCTGCAGTATTTATTCTTCAAAGACGTAGCGAGTATTCGCTACTTCGTTTCATAGAGCCCATGTTTTATGCAACCAAAGAACACACCGACTCTATAATTTGAGTGACATATTTGAAAAACTAAATGAACTAAATTTGTCCCTTCAAGGAAAAAGTTCCAACATATTCATATCGAAATGAAATACTGATATTTTTACTAATAATTTAAGTGATAATGATGAAACAGATCTTCAAAAAGATGTGTTGTTAAAACTGATAAATAACATCTTCAGTGTCTTGAGAAAAACTTTGAGAAATAGTTTCCTTCAAATTTTAGTGCCAAAGAACTAATATGGATAGTGAAACCATTCAGAATTAATGTGGGAAGCTTCACTCATTTGCTAATAAAATTACAAGAACTTGCTGAGTTATCAAATGATATAGGATTGAAAATAGATTTTAATATTAAGTCCGTAGTAGAATTTTTGTTAGGATTCTCAAAAGGAATTCCAACAATTTCTGAGACTGATGTATACTTTATTTTACCTTTTTATACAACATATTTGTGTGAGACAACATTTTCGTTTTTAACCACCATAAAATCAAAGTGTTAATCAAATGTAAAGAATATTGAAGAAGTGCTTTGTCCTGCAGTGTTGACTATTTTGCCAAAATTTGATAATATAATTAAAAGTAAACAGACACAATCTCAGGTGACTTTATAAGAATGTCTTGTTATGAAGAAACCTGCACTTTTATGCAAGTAGGCTACTGTTCGCCAAGACAGAAAACCTTCTCGCCAAAACGTTGCATGCGTACCGAATTCAAAAGGTGAAGAAAAATTTCAACTTGAAGAAAGGGTGTGTATGTGTATTTAATTATGGCAAAGCACACTACGGCTATCTGCCTAAAGGGAGGGATGCCTTCGTGGAGGACTTTCTAAGGGAAACTCTCGTATACACGTTACACATGGGGAAAACCGCGAAAACATCCATGCAGCCAGCCCGTTCGCGGGATTCGAACCTCGGACCGAACTACCAGTGTTCAGCGACTTTACCGCTCGGCCGCTGGTGGACCACCAACTTGAAGAAAGGATCTTTTCAGAAGTATGCTAAGCCACCACTAAGCAAGTAGGTTTTCGTTTGCTTTCTGAATAACAAACGGAGAAAGAAAAAAAAAAAAAAAGAAGAAACTACTAGTATTTGGTGGTTTGAATTTTTCAAGAATTTTTCAACCACCCGTGGACAGCCTTGATGAGACATGGATGATATTTTGTTACAGGCAAAGTACCTAACGAAAAATGTATTTACATGAACACTAAAATTTATGGGACAAAAATAGGTTGCAATTAACAGTCACGTGTGCAACAATCTCAAAATGTGAAGGATACAAAATGAACAGGAAATTCTGTGGTCTGTAAATAAATAATGAACACATCTAGCCATGGCTATGAATGTTTATTGCAAAAAGACCATTTCCTACAAGAGCAGATTTACTGGGCCGTGAATTTAGAAACCTTTAGTTTGTTTATGTACTTTATCAAGAGATTCCATTAACCACAGTATGGTTGGATGTTTTCCGAAAACTTCAAATTAAGTTCTGGATTTTACGCTAATTAACCAGTTATTGTGATTTGAACATTTACTTTAATTTTTTTTTCCGTAGTTCTCATAACCATAATGCAAATTTGGTGTTGTGCATTTCAGGCAACGGTTTGAATGTTTTAGAGCTTCTCGTAGTCTCACCTTGCTATTACGTACTATTGCGAGCTCTGCAAAAGCTGAAGTCCGGCTTAATCCCCTTGTTAGTCAACGTTTAAATACGCGCCATTAATTACCTGATTTAGCTTAGGTAGTTTACTTTGTGTGTAGTCTTAGTCTACGTTATCCAGATTTGAATTTACTTCAAACTTATTTTATTTGGGGGGGGGGGAAATGGTATTTTGACCTTTCTACTACCTTTGCCATTTCTATTCAGGTTTGAGCTATAATCCGCTTGTCACTCCAGTAAGGTCTGAAGAACATTGAGTTAAACAACT